AGCTGCCTCCGCCACGGCAGGAGCCGGATAATGGGAGCGTCCTCCCCCCTCTGCTCCCGGGGGATTTGGCTCCGTTGAACGGTGCGCTCGGGATGGAGACAGCGTCCTGGTACCAGCGGCTGAGCTGCCGAATTGGGGTTATCCCAGCCCCCCACAGCCCAAGGGACAGCCAGGCCCCGAGGAGGGGGTGTGTGCTGTAGTGGGACATAACAAAACCTCGGGGAGGTCGTGCATCCCTGCCTGTATTCCTGACATCCTGTATATCCCTGTATCCTCTGTCTGCATCCCCACCAAAGCCAGCCCTGCTGTGGCTTTCCCTCTGTGCTGCTCCTGCATCTTGTGGTTTTCCCCATTTCCCAGGTGCTGGACGAGCCCAGGGAGACAGGAGAGGCAGTGGTGGACCTGGGGAAGGGGTGGGTAAAAAAAAAAAGGGAAAAATAGAAGAAGGCTAAGTGCCAAAAGTGAGCAGTTGAGACTGAACATCTGGCAGGGGAAAGGGCAGGGTCAACACAAGGGGAAAAGGGCAAGGTTAAAAAAATACTGATGTGGGATTTGCAGGGAGGGGCAAAAGCCCATGAGCAGTTAGGAATTGGTTAAAAGCAGCACAATTGATGCAAAACCACATAGAAGTGACACCCACACAACCCTCCCTTCATTAAGCAACCCATTAAAAAAACCTTTCAGGTAAACTTTGCTGCTTAAAAAAAAAAGCCCAAACAAAATGAGGTTTCCATAATGGAAACCCATCCAAATCTTACCCCCAGAGCTTCTCCTTCACATGGTGATCCAGGACCTGTGGCTTTATAGGAGTTTGGCCTCTGCAACACATCTGAGCTAGATTGGGCTAATTACACCCAAAACAGCTGAGGCTGAACCCAGAGCTCTCCTCCTTTCTGAGGGAGCAAATTTCCTGTGGTGCCCTGGGTGAGAGATGAAATGAAGGTAAAACAGACAAAACATGATATAATGGAATATATCTGTATAATAATTTAATAGAATCATAGGCTCATGGAATAGTTTGGGTTGGAAGGGACCTTAAAAACCATCCAGTGCCATGATATGACATGTTCTATTACATGTGTGCGTATATATATGCACATAAAAAAACAAGACACATTTACACATACATGCACATGCAATTATATACCTACATATAATATGCACGACTGACAAATATATATTTATATGCATGTGGTATGGAGATATGATGCTATTTATACAATATATAAGATTTAATGTCTTATATATAAAGTACAGAAATACATATACACATATATATGTCTGTACATATATATATAAAGGCTTACTGAAAGAGGCATCCCATATATATGTGTATATGTATGTATATATAT